TTTCGTTTTTGAAGGATCAACGAGTGCACAATGGTTCCATGCAATATCCTTACTTCGTCCTTTTCTAGGAGCCATTGCAATCCAAAACACCCAAAAGTCAATACAACCACAAAATATATTTTTTTATGAAAAATAAGTGCTGAAAATTGCACAAACCACCCAAAATATGCTGGGGAATGCAAGAACCACCCCAACAATGCTGAAATCGTACAAGCAAACCTCAATTTATGCTGAAAGTTGCAGAAACACCCCAACCAATGCTGAAAATTGCACAAAAACCCCCCAACTAAGTTTAAATTTGAACCAATCACCACAAATCAACGAGCCCACCTCAAAATTGAACAAACCCATGACAAAAACGAACAAACCCAACCCTTATTGAACGAAAATTTGAAGAAATAAGGCTCTAGATCGCAAGCCTGTTCCAATTGTGCAAAACCTAGTCAAAATTGCCCTTGAATTGGTGTTGAATCTCAAACAAATCGCAAGAATCAATAGAAATTGAATATTAGAGTTGAGATATTGTGAGGATTGTTGAAGAAATTGAAGAAAATAGTGTAAATTAGGGTTGGGATGTTGAAGATATTGTTCAAATTTGTTTTTTATGTGCTGCCGATCGAGTTTCCTTCTTTTTTTTTTTTCCTTCAATTTATTGGTTTTTTTGGTGGACTAATATCGTAAACATCGTATCGTATCGTGATACTGCAATACGATACGATATATCGCGATATTTTTCGATATTTATGAATAATCGATACGGAGCCCGAGTAGTATTGTTTTTTATTGACTACCATGCATGATATTGAGTTGATTTCTAGATTGATTGCCTTTGAGGAAAATCAAGTTTCAATAACTAGCCCTGCTATTTTCCACCTTATGTATGCAAATGACTTAGTTATATTCTGTAGAACTAATTCAAATGATGTTGTTTCCATTAGGAATATTTTAGATATATGATCTCTTTGGTCTAGCCAGTTCCCTAATATAATGCTGATAAATCTCAGATCCATTTTAGTGAAAATACTACCCCAAATGTGATGATTGACATTCTGAATATCTTGGGATTCAAAGAATGTGATCGATCACAAAGCCAAACACTTAGTCTTGCCTCCAGGAAGGCAGGAACCTTGCTTTCCATAATGTTTCTGACAAAATCAATCATTAGCTCTCTGGTTTAAAGTCCAAGAACTTATCTCAAGCTGCTAGTAGAACTATTCTTATCGAGGCAGATGCTCAAGCAATTCCCACTCTGTCAAAAAAATGATCACCTTTGTTTGACTCTTGTTCCTTTGTTTTTGTTTAATAATATTGCTTTAATTATTAAAAAAAAAATAGAGTCTGGGGAGATGTTGGGGGTTTAAATCTCCATGTGTTTTAAGCAAATGTTATAATAATTTATTTATTTTTTTAGAAAAAACACCACTACCAAAAAGTCATTTCCTTCTTAAAAAAAATAATAATAAGAGCCGTCCATGCATAAATAAGCTGGTATGAAAGAGATAAAACAAAAAAAGTAAAGGTTGTGGTTAGTTGAAATACTAATTCCATACTGAGGAGAAGACGAAATTATATTTTCTAAACTAAAAATATTATAATACTCTTATTTACTAAAACAAAAGAAAGGAAAAAAAGAACACTAAGACCATAAAATCAAAATCCACAAAAACCTACTCATAGGACAATAAATAATATAAGACCACATTCTTCATCTTCCAAAACTCCACAAAAACTCTCTCCTTGGTACCTATAAAATCTCAATATTTAAAATTCTCAAATCTTAACTAATCTCTTACAGAGAACAAATATGGAGTTAAATTACCTCCAAATGAAAGATTGTACGATAGAATAACCCGTAAGAGTATGTATTACTGTGTGCTTT